CCGCCATGGCCCGTCGCACCGGGTGTGGAGCAAAGCGGTGCAAAGCCGTCTATGTGTAGGACCCCCCGGTGGCCTATCGTTTTGCAAGCAGCTGTCATATTGTTTTGTGCTTTAGTCAGGGTTCATGGGCGCCTGCACCGGCGTCTGTGAGCGGCATGGCCAACAGGTGGTGGGAGTTGTGCTTGAACACATGAGCTCGATCGACTTCGTCGGTGTCTGAAATCTCGACCCGATGGTACGGCGCTGTCCCTCGAAGTTGACTTCAGCGGTGACCTAGCTATGTAGACGGTTGCACCTCTCGAGTAGCGGGTAGTGGCCGGCTACAAAGCAACGTCGGTGTAACTGGATCGATAAGCCGGCGCCGGCGAACGCCGTGATTGGGTGTGGTCGGAGTGTCGAGATGTTCAAGCCGTTTTCCTGAAGCTCGTCAGAAACCGCGCGGGTTCGGACAGGCCCAGCGCGAGTGCCGTGCCGGTGACCTCCTATTTATCTCCCATATAGTCCTGGCCGTTCCTTGAGGATCTGCATCTTCGACCTTCACGCCCACAATCCTGAACCTGTAGTATATGGCCAACGCGTACTCTGCATCGTTGCAGGTCACCATCTCCCTCCTGCCCGTCTCGCTATCTCTGGTGCACATTCCCCGATCACGCCTGCTCAGCCTCGTACACCCCGTCATCAAGCAACTGCTCGTTCCGCGCCCGACTTTCTTGAACTTGACTTGCAATGAGATTGAGCTCAGCATCTTTGCCGAGAACGATGCGGTCAGAGAGTTCGAGTCCATTGCACGGCGTGATCGGCAGCGACACCGCTCGCGCTCAGGCTCGACGTCGAGCCGAACGCATCCCGACGCGTTTCCGGAGGACGCCATAGAAGTCTCCTACGACCAGTGGCGCGTCCTGCAGATAGACTCGCACAGCGGCTTCGGTGCGTCCCATTCCGTTCTGACGCGTCGTGAGTCGCCGATAACCATTTTGAGATAGACAACACTGGCGCGCGCGTCCATGAGATCTCTGCTCCCCTGGCTGCAGCAGGCATCTCTATCCTCTACCAATCTTCACACATCAGTGACTTCATTTTCGTATGTACTCGAGTTCTCCCGAAGATTGGCTTCTAGGCTGACGCCTGTTTCGTTCTAGGTTAAGGCCTCCCGTCTCCACGAAGTCCTTTCCATTTTCTCTTCGGCTGGCTATGATCTACTTTCGTCGAATCCGGATACATTGTCGTCGTCATATGCGCCCTTCGATGCGCCGCGCAAGGATAGTTGGGATGGGACCGTTTTGACGCGCAGGCGAAGCAGCACGGCGAGCTCGTCGGGAGCCCATTCCGTGCTCTCACCACCGCCATTGGACAATCTGGCGGAAGAGGGAGTGGAAGGTCCGCCGATGCCTAGGCCCGCGATGACACGGACAACGTCGCACTCACCCGCTCCGACGGACGTCCGCGTTTTGAACCCGGATTTGACGTGCATCGGGTTGGCGGAGGAGTCTGCGGACGTCTGGCTACTACGGCTCGTGAAGCTCGTAGCATACCCAGAGCTCATCGTAGCGGATGATGCCTCCGTGGCGCGCCTGGCTTCTCAGTCTCCGCCGATATCACCTACTGCTCCCCGCGAAGCACCCCTCGGAGACTCGGCGCTACCATCTGACGAAGAACCCGAGGAGGATGGCTACTACTCGGCCTCGCCCCACTCACGCTCGGCGTCTGGATCACCAGTGAACGGCGTCTCTGCTTCTCGTTCACAGTCCGTCGAGGGCTCGAGCGAGCGGCGAGGTGGCAAATACAGCCATCTTCACCGAATTACGACAGTCGCTGAGCAGGCCGCACGGCTGCGCGGGAACGGAAGCGTAAATGGGAACGCTCCTCCCTCTTCCTCTTCCTGTCGACGCACGTTCGCCGGATACACTGTTCCCTTCTTCTCTATTACGCGCACGGACGAGGGCACGAGCCTCATCGCGCCCACCGCGACCATTGCGGCGCTGTTTCCGGCTTCCGATCGTCATATGGTCATTCGTGGTAATGATCTGGACGAGTTGGATGCCGGCGGCGCACCAGAAGCTGACGACGGGGATGCGGGAGAAGAGCCTAGGGGCGGCCCTATGCGCTGTCTGCAGATCGACCTACGCCAATTCGGACTCGGTACGTCTGATGATCCCCTGTTCGCACCATTCCTCTTCGTTTACGTTCGTCGGGCGCTTTGTAGATAAGCACGGCCTGGTGAATAGGTATTCGCGCGTGCTCGAAAATAATGGGATCAACCATATGTATAGCAGTACATTCAAAACAGCCAACTTGCTCGTACGTCTTGACGGCCTGATTTGTACAGCTGGTAACACGGAACTCACACGATCATGATACAGGTCGACCGATACCGGGCGCGCAAGGCACAGCTGCTTCTTCGGGACCCCTGAGCTTGCCGTGTATACTAAAATACCCTCGCGCCACCTACCCCACCATTCCAAACCTAGCCTGAGATATCTATTCATGTTCGTTCATCATCGATACCCGTCGGTTTAGTGTGGCACCCATCCATGTATCCTCCGTGTATCGGCATCATTCTGTATCACCAGTTCTGATGTACCCATCAACATGTACTTGTGCTACTTCATGCATTCTTGACGCAATCACCTCTCATGTTATCGTACCATGAACGCGGTCGGACAAACAGTGAGCTGAGCTTGGGCTTCTCAATGACCGTGGGACTGTAGTCATGTCTGTCTAAGAACCGATCAAGCGCCACAACATGCCTCGTTGCTTTCCACCTTCATCACACCTCCAGCATGACCCAAACCCGGCATAGCATCTTCCGCCCCTGCATCGACCTACACGACGGCCAAGTTAAACAGATCGTTGGCGGCACACTCTCCGAGACCGACCCCAGCACGTTACGTACGAACTTCGTCGCGAGGTGAGCGTGCAGCCTCTCCCAGGACTTTGGACTTTGCGCTGAGGCTGGTGAGCGAGTCGCCGGGAGACTTTGCGAGGTTGTATCGGAAGCATGATCTTCAAGGTGGCCATTTGATCAAGTTGGGGCCGAGGAATGATGAGGCTGCGAAAGAGGCGTTGTCTGCTTGGCCGGGTGCACTTCAGGTTGGAGGAGGGATCAACGCGGATAATGCGTTGAGTTGGCTGGAGGCTGGTGCTAGCAAGGTGCGCCGTATGGCAACACCTCACTTGACCTTTGCTGAAGTACTCTAGGTTATCGTAACATCCTATCTGTTTCCTGGCATGAAACTCTCCTTTGATCGGTTGCGCGCACTATCCGAGCTCGTTGGGAAAGATCAGCTGGTTGTCGACGTAAGGTACGCCACATCTTGTATTGCGGATACTATGACTTAACTCTGAGCTATTCAGTTGCCGTAGACGAGGCGATAAATGGATGATTGCCATGAACAAATGGCAGGACATCACGGATACTGAGGTCAGCGAAGGTGCGCGCTTTGTGCTCAAGCAGGCAGTCAGAACACATGGTTAACTTGATACACTACTACAGAGACTCTACATGAACTTGCTGAGTACTGCAGGTGTGTGTGCTTAGCTCACCAAACACCACCCCGCGCTCATGGACGTGCAGCGAGTTCTTGGTACATGCAGCGGATGTAGAAGGCCTCTGCCGCGGCATTGACGAAGAGTTAGTCCGAAGTACGCTTCATATGTTCTCTATAAGTGCGCGATGCTGATTAGAACACGTTCAGAGCTGGGAGAATGGGCGACTATACCTACCACATATGCTGGTGGCGCCAAGGACATCTCTGATCTCGATCTCGTAGACAAGCTTTCGGGCGGCAAGGTCGATCTGACCTACGGAAGGTATCTTCGTCCCCTCCTTCTCTTATAGATATCTGCTGACTATTGACAGCTCTCTGGATATATTTGGTGGCAAGCTCGTCAAATTCGAAGAACT